TTTTCTAGTGCGTATGCAGACACTAAATATGCCAAAGGCTGTTTGGTGATATGCTCACATCTTATGAACAAATGCATTATGTAAATTTTAAATGCATTATTTTTGCAAGACACATTTATAAAGGAATAAAGTAAAAGATTAAATAGCCTTTTTTTTAAGTAGCATACTTAAGATATGTTTCTGTTGAATACGAATCTCAGATTTCCGACATGTGTCCCCCCCAATAGTAAACATATTCCTACGCCCTTGTATATATATATATATTTTTTTTTTCTCAAACTGTATTGTTTGAATTTTTAGATTTTATATTTTCATTTTTATTTTTTTTCAAATAGTTTCTTTTTTTAAATTGAGCTTTACAAATTGAATTCTTTTGAAATTGCCTTTCACAGATCCCATTCTCTTTATTTCACGACCAAATAAATAAGCTGATAAAATACAAATTGAAAAGAGCAGAATTTGTTAAGCTTAATCTGAAAACAGAGAAATGTAAATACAAAAGAAAATTCATTTAAAAATGGAAAACAAAAATAATAATAATAAAAAAAAAAATAATAATAGAAAATACATTCGCTTTGGAAAGTGAATGTATGTGAATTGCTTTGATTAGGAATTATTACAAAGTTAGATTTATCACCTTTTGCATTATGTCTTTGTTTGCAACAACAATGAAACAAATTTAACAAGTGAATAAACCATGTCATACATGTGATATCTGTCATCATCTTTAACACGTCTATTAATCAAATTTTATTCTTAATGGTTAATGTTTACTTTATATGTCAACCAGCCGGAGCAGGGGGATATTTTTGTTTCAGTACAGCCTGTTTAAGGCAGAAACTCATACATACATGGGGGATGAAGTGTCTGAAGCCTTGCTGACGTCAAACGCGCTGCACTTAAACTTAAGGAAAAAAAAAAAGAGAGAGAAGCATAACAATAGGTAAAAGGAGGGGGGAAAAAGCATATTTCACACTTTAACGTTGGCAGGATGGAGTCTGAGATTGCAAAAACAAAAACAGCACAAACAGATACAGAACATCTTGTGAGGAAACAAGGAAGGCAGTATGAGTAGTGCATGTTATATCTGTAAGCATACATGTGTGTTTTTGTTTGTGCAAAGTTTAATCTATAAAAACACAGTCCCTGTGGCCATTGTCCTTGATTGTACGATGTTATGTTCATCAATAAGACGCACACGGAGAAGGTTCACAGATCTCCTAAGGGAAGGCAGGGAGCATATTGTCATGTTTGCATAATACCCAGGAGGAGTTTATCACATATGGCCTTCAAGGCCGTACATGGGAGCCAGATTATAGATAGAAACATTATGTTTGGGTCAGGATGGCTGTTGAAGCTTATGCTTCACAATGGCGAATCGAAATAGAGAAATTCCTTGTCCTTAAGACCAGATCTGCGCTTAAAACTTTCTCTAGGATACACAAAAACACACAATCTACCATTTCTGTCAGGAATCCATTGTGTATCTGGAGCAAAACATTCTGTCTGAACAGGAGGGTCTTCCTGTCGAGAAAATGTGTGTGTGTGTATATATATATATATATATATATATATATATATATATATATATATATATATATATATATATATAGTTTACTTTCATATTTTGAAGCCCTCTGATTTATACCTTTAAAGACATTACAAAATGCATTGTTCTAGCATTCATCCAGTTTAATATGCTGATAATAAATTTCTCTTACCCCCTCTAGCTTCTTCAACCACACCTCCTGGTTCCTGGCCTCCTGATGTGTCCTTCTGTAATCTGCTATACTGCGATCAGGTGTACTGCTGCCCTTCATCTGGAGGGGGCAGCACTGTCTCCAGCATCCCAACATCAGAACCAGTGTTAAACGTTCCAAAAGGTAACAGCAGCTTGGAGCCAGCAGTGCATTCATATAAATAGTCTTGTAAAAGAGGAGACACATCCTGATGGTTTTGTTCTACAGGAATAGGGCAAAAAAACGGTGGAAATCATTTCAACGCTGCCAGAGACTGTGAGTACTGCTGTTTTACACCATCTGGCCACTTGTTTTCAGAAGATTTTATCAAATTACATTAATGTGGATGAACCCTTTGTCATTTTACAGCCACAATTTAGTTTTTTCTGTTTGGATTTTATGTAATTGTAACAAAAAGAAATGCAGAACTGAGAAATGTTTGAGAAATTGAGAAAGACCAATTTTCTACATCTAGAAACTGAACATCAGTTTTGAGTCTTTCCTCAGATTTTCAGTTAGGACACTTAAAGCCATAGTGGACCATGTTCTTTTTTCGGGTGGATCATCTAAATAAGTGGTCCTCCTAACTGTCAATCATTCCAGTGATATGTTGACGTAAGGTTGTCCTATGTGCTCGTCCCTATTTTCACTTTCCGGTGGAGAGTCTGACATAGTGGAAAAAGAGCAAATTTTCCTCTGGAAGGTTAGTTTGTGTGAGCGATGCAAGCAGCAATTTTTAAACAGAGCGTGCACGAGGAGAAATGGGCTCGTGCACGCTCTCACACGCGTGTAATAGGAGTTCCCTCTCAGGAGTCGGTACAGGGTTGAGCATGTGCATTTTTATTTTAAGTGGAGAGGGCGGGTCTTTTAAAAAATCCGCAAAAATCCTCCACTATACCTCTAAAAGAGTGCCCATAAAAATGTAATTTGATTGGCTGAAACAAGGGAGCTCTCTGATTGGTTGCCGTCTTTTTAGCAATGGTCAATAAAGGAAGTCGGGAGAGTTTAAAAAAATCCACAAACCGGCAAATTACAAGCAACTAGCAAATCAATATGTTTGTGTCCATCAGAAATATATAGCTGACTTTTTTCATGTGTATTTATGAACCTCTTGTGTGCTTTTACAAGTCCAGAGTTTGCTTTTCTGCAAGCAGTGAATCTTTAATGAGTCCAATAGTATTTATGTCTGCGCTCTGACTGAGGCATATGTTGACCCTCTAAGACACACCCTTCCTCATTTGCATAAGGAGGCAGAAATTCATTCAGAAATGTAAAAATGACGGGCAGAAATAATTAGCATTGAAGAAATAAACAGGGGAAAAAAATTCTAAGAATAAAACTGTCAAAATATTATAACATGCACATAAATACTTAAAAACGTAATTAATAAATAAAGTTGATGATTATAACGGACAAAAAATAAATAAGGTAATTATTACAAAGGTGAATAA